TGAGTAGGTCTCTCAGAGCCTCTCCTACATAGCAATTACATGGGTCACTGTGTACTGAAAGGTGCATTCAAACACTCATGTTTCCCCTACAATTGAAGTGAATGATGATTCATGGCATCTGCATCCCCGTTAATGAGACAAGGTGGTCTGTCTCTAGGCTATCCCTTCTCTCCTGAAAGGGGCTCAACCCTATATAGCACTGGGAAGCACTGACCTCCTCTGCATGGTCAGCTCCCCATGGTGTGACTCCCATCTTTGCCATGGTCCCAAGGTCTGGGTTCTCAGGACTAATTCCATTTGTGGACATCTGTCCTCATGGAGAAACCAACAATAGCTTCTTCATAAATAATGCTTTGGTAGATTTGGATGGTTGGATTCATTTGAAAGCACTCACTTCCTCTCTTCATTTAACTACAGCTTCCTTGTCTAAGAGGAGTAATTCATGAGACAACCAGCATAGGAGGAAACTGAGTGAAGAGCTTACAAAGACAAACCCCTGTCTTCATGGGTATCAGATTGGGGTGACCTCAGCTCAGGCAAGGAACACAGTGAAAATATTGCCATCAGGAGCTGGGCAGGGGTGGTTAAAGTGTGTGTGGCACCTAGAATGTTCTTGTTACTTTACTTTTTATTTAAAATAAGGTTATTTTCATAGAATATATTCTGAACATAGGTTCTTCTCCCTCATACCCGCCCCACCTTCCCACTTGTCCTTCTAATGCCACACCTTTCCCCCTGTCTCTTAAGAAAACAAACAAAAAAGACAAACAGGTACAAAAGAAAATGAACAAACAGAAAGAAAAAAACAAGCATAACACACACACACACATACCCCACAAAAAATAAAATCAGAAACAAAAAGACCAGTAATATTTCAAAAAAATGGCCAACCAAAGTAATATGAGACCCTTAAAATTTTTCTAAAAATGCCATTGAATTTATTTTGTAATGGTTGTCTACGGCTGGCAATGTGATTCATATATCTAGAGTGGCCTCTTGGCGAAACTAATTTTCCCTTGGGAGCAATTATCAATTGGAAGTTGTTTCTTGGTTTGTGATGGGTCTCATGTCTACTTCTCCATCTCAGCACTGACACCCCATCTGGTTTGGACCTGTGCAGGCCCTGTGTAGTCTATCACAGTCTGTGTGAGGTCATACTGCGTCAGTCCTGAGTGTAGAAGGTGTTGTTTCCTTGTTGTCATCTATCCCCTCTGGCTTTCACAATCATTTGCCTCCTCTTCTGCATGTATAGTTCCTTGATCCCTGAGAGAGGGATTTGATGGAGACATCCAGTTAGAACTAACTGTTTCCCAGTCCTCACTCTGCACATTGTTCACTTGTGATATTCTGTATCAGTTCCCATCTCCTGAACCAGAGTGCTTGTTTGATGATGACTGAGACACTGATCTATGGATATAGCAGAGAGTCATTAGAAATCATTTTATTTCTACATTCCTTTAGCACAATGGTAGTGTTTGGTTCAACCCTAGGTCTATTGTTTGTTTAGTCTCAAGTTCTTGGCCACAGTGAAGTGTCAGCCATGAGTTCCCTCTCATGGAGTGAACATTAAATCCAATTAGATTGTGGTTGGTTACTTCCATGATACTTGTTCCACTATTAAACCAGCATATCATGCAGACATGTCACCATTGTAGATCAAATGGTTTGGAGCTGAGTTGGTGTTAGCTTTTTCCTTTGGTTGTATACACAATACATTCTAGTACCATGAACACTAGTCAATAGGTGTCAAGGCCGTAGGAAAGCACCAGATGAACTTTTCTGTGGTCAGTGAATTATGTAGATGTTGTTGTCTTCAGCAACAAGGTCTTCACATCAGTTCGTGGAGAGCAACCAATAACGTTGGTAATAGCCTGAGTTGTTGGGAATTTCTATCAGGCCCTGTTATAATTAGTGTTTCATTGCTGTCAATGGACTACATGGCCAAGCCAACTCTTATAAAGGCTTGCAATCAAACACATGAGTTTATGAGGGCCAAACCTATTCAATCCACCGTATTACATTCCCTGACCACCACTGGTTTATAGTCATAACATAATGTAAATTGAATTTAGTCCAACTTCCCAAGTCCCCATAGTCCTCAGAGTCTCACCAATGTATAGAAGTCCAAAGTTCAAAGCATCTTCTGATGTCATGCAACCTCTTAACTATAAACCATTATAAAATCAAATTTAAAAAACAGATCACAAGTATTCAACATCAAAGGATATACATTACCATTTCAAATCACAGGGATGGGAGCAGAGTGAGGATATACTAGACCAAAGCAAGACCAGAAAATTCTAAATTTTGCACCTCCATGTCTGATGTCCAACTCCTTTCAGCTTTGTTGACTGCAACACAATTCTTTCTCTTGGGCTGGATTCACCCCCTGTTAGTTGCTTTCCTTGCCAGGTATCCCATAGCTCTCTCATTTCTAACATCTTGAGATCTTGTCCTGGTTTGAATATGCCTGGCTAATGGAAAGTGCTACTATTAGAAGGTATGGTCTTATTGGTGTAGGTATGGTCTTGTCAGAGAAAGTGCATCATTGGGGGGTGAACTTTGAGGACATACGCTCAAGCTCAGCCCAGTGTAGGAAACAACCTCCTCCTGGCTGCCTGCTGAAGACAATCTTTACTGGTTGCCTTTGGATCAAGATGCAAAACCGTTGCTGCCATGCTTCCTGCCATGACGATAACAGACTGAACCTCTAAAACTGTAAGCCATCTCCAATTAACTGTTGTCCTTTATAAGAGTTGCTTTGGTCATAGTGTATCTTCACAACAATAAAATTCTAAGGCAACTTCAACTTCACAACTTCTTCTTCCAATGTCTGGGATCCACACATAAACTTCTGGGATCCACACATGATCCAAAGGGCTTGGGTCACTTCTCCTCTGTAGCATTCTAGCCTCTGGTGGACTCCACTCCACTGCTTCTACTGTTCTTGGTCATCATCTCATGGTACTGGCATCTCCAATATGGTGATGGGGGGGATCTTCTGATGCAACTAGGCTTCACCAATAACCTCTCATAGGCTCACTTCATGGTGCCAAGCCTCAATTTCTTTGCATGATCCCTTCAGTCACAACTGCCACTGAGGCTGCACTTTCACCATTGGTCTTTATGGTCCTCTCACAGTACCAAGCCTCTGATGCTCTCCATGACCACTTTCATGCCTTCAAACCAGTACCACCTGGGTAATTCTTATATATTACCAAGTCCAACTGCTAGAATAATGTTTATTTCTGGAACATAGTTTCTTCGTGTTCTTAGAAAATACTTCCCAGAATATCTCACTTCAGTAATGCTGGTCTCTTCTTAATCACAGCTAATTTCTTAGCTTCAGCTAATCAGCATCAATTATTCTGGTAACCTCTTCTATTCTTGACTCTAATGGTAGAGCCACATGGCTGAGACTGCCAAGTTCTTGCTGGAGCTGGAACACAGCTCCCTTGTTTTATCACATCTTCACCAGCTTTCTGTTGTCATAGTTTCCTTCACTGCCTAACCTTTGTTGTCCTGGAACTTGCTCTGTAGACTAACTGTGAACTCAGAAATCTGCATGTCTCCTGTCTCCTGAGTGCTGAGATAAAATGTGTGTGCCTCCACACCTAGACCTAAGCTATTCTCTACCTGGAATTTGCTCTGTACCAGGCTGGCTTTAAACTCAGAGATCTTCTTGCCTCTGACTCCTGATATTAAAATCTTGTGCCACCATGCCTGGACTTAAGCTTTTCTTTTCAAAGATCTTGATAAACTTTAGATTGTAGTTCATTCCAGATATAATCAAATTGACAACTGAGAACAACCATTACAATCAATCCCTTGTTAATCTGACACACAATCATATCTCCTCATGTCCAAATGAAAAAAAATACCAGGTCATAATAACACTTAACATGATATAGTTATATCCATTGTTCAACTGCAAACATAT